TTTTTTGCAGTGCAGTTCTGCCACTTATTCCTATGGCTTTAACCGCCGAAACCATATGTTCAGTCAAAAGAAAAAAAAAATCAATATAAATATCAATTACATAAACGCATAATTTAATATATTCAGAGGTAGGCACACAAATTAAGGAGTAAAAACATTTTTCAAAGCAGTTAAACAGTTTCCAGTTGAATGTTCCCATAGCAACCTCGTCTCTGAATTTTAATAGTGATCAGATAATGTTTCTCCAGATTCACCAGATACCACAAAGTCACTTTTCCATCATGAGTGTTTGTGATCAGTGAGATACAGAATTCACTCCTATATTACTTCACTCTCCTCTCGGTGTGTGTGCTCTGAACTGGGGGTGAATAAAATATGATACTAAAATACAAGTATCTTTTTGTGTTTAACAAAATCATTCGTTTTTATTTTAATATTTTTATGTGTTCAGGTTGGAAATCTCGCCTGGTTAATATAACACAGACTTACTGAATACATGTGCATTATTTTAACTGCCCCCTCGGTCTGTTACACCTAACCCCACCTGTGGAGTAAGTGGTGACGTTTGCACTCACTCTGCTTTCCACTGAACTGTTCACAAACAGTAGGAGCTCGACGCAAAGGTCCAGTCCCATTTCTGATTTTTACCCCTACCCCTTGTTTTCGAGTGTTGCCCCTTGGAGCTGAGTTACAGGGTAGTGGTTGAGATCTTCCATCAAATAAAAAGAGCATCACTTCATTAACAGCTACCAGCGCTGCTCTGTAGGCGACCCTGCCAGTCTGCAGTGACAGCAGAGGAGGGTAAAGTTCAGCTCCTCACTGCTGGGCTTTAGTTACATTTAGGGCTCATATGATCTTCAAAGAGGGGGGCAATTATTTATTATCACCCACCCCTAATTCTTCAGTGATATGAAGCTGAAGTCAGATACTCACCAGCTAAATTTGTACATATACAACTTGTATATTCAAGCCTTTGGTAATTAGTTTTCCCTGTTAGTTCTATACCTGCCAGAGTCTCTGCTAACACTGTAATTTGTGATCGGTCACCCATTACAGAACTAACTCTGTGTGTTTTCCTCTCTGTGTGTTTTCCTTTCTTTTCTTCGCCGAGTTGAACAGCTGCCCGTCCTGTGCGTCTGATGCTGCTGCCTTTTCTGCCTCGATCTGGTGCCACTGCTCGCCAGCCCTCTGGACCGGCTTACCAACATTGAGCCTCCTGCTGTTCAACGCCGTGCAAACCTCACCCTCACAACCTGACCCCACTGATACTACTGCTGTTGCTGCATGAACTATTCAAAATGATTCACTTGAACCAATCAATCATTCAAACTAATTCAAATTAATCAATCACCCATTGACTGTGTTTTTCCTCTCTTTCTTTTGCCGAGTTGAACAGCTGCCCATCCTGCTGCTGATGCTGCTGCCTCTGCTGCCTTGATCGGGTGCCACTGCTCACCGTGCAAACCTCACCCTCACAACCTGACCCCACTGATGCTGCTGCTTCTGCTGCATGAACTGAACTATTCAAATTAATTGTTTCCTTCACGTTTTACCCTGTTTTTGTACTATAATACTTTATACTAACAATGTTTACTATCCGGTGTCGACCAGAGGAGGATGGGTTCCCCTTCTGAGTCCTGGTTCCTCTCAAGGTTTCTTCCTGTTTCTCTTAGGGAGTTTTTCCTTGCCACTGTCGCCACTGGCGACGCTCATGGGGGCTCGGACCCGGACTTCTTTTTGTAATGCTCATTTCCTTGTAAAGCTGCTTTGTGACAACACCTGTTGTAAAAAGCGCTATATAAATAAACTTTACTTACTTACTTACTTACTTACTAAATTTCCCGTTCCTCCTTAAATAGTCCTACTAGTGTTTTTTATGCTTGTTATGAAGAAAAGAACCATAATACACTGAAACGACATTAAACTAAGAAAATTCGATGATTATCGTAATTTTTTAACAGAGAAAATTCTCACATTTGTGTGTTTCTTTGGTCTCTTGTTCTCCATCTCACTGGTTTTTCCTTTTTTTCTGATAACTCTCTGTTTGGAATCTCTGAAAATCCTCCGTTTGGAGGGTCATGTAGCCCCAACACTTCACCCCACCCCTCTATCTCAACAAGAATCGGGACACCCTACCCCTAGACGTGAACGCACAAAACGAAGGGGTAGGGCTGAGTGGTAGGGGCGAGGGGTGAAAAGGATTGGGCGCTGCTCTGTAGGCGACCCTGCCAGTCTGCAGTGACAGCAGAGGAGGGTAAAGTTCAGCTCCTCACTGCTGGGCTTTAGTTACATTTAGGGATCATATGCCTTCAAAGAGGGGGGCAATTATTTATTATCACCACCCCTAATTCTTCAGTGATATGAAGCTGAAGTCAGATATTCTCCAGCTCCTTCATCACTCCCAGGTCTGAAGGAGGGCTGAGTGCTGGGGGGAGGGGTGAAAGGGATTGGGCCAAAGTCTCTGTTTTTATCTGTAGCACAGACGTGCAGCTCACCTTCGATAGGAATTGCTGATCTTGCTCAGATACTTGAAAAATTATTCGTAAAAAACTAGACGTCTTAGAGCTGAAGGGTGAACATAAGCACAGCTGGGATCTGCATGTGGAGTCTGTTTTGTCCTCATCTCTGTTCTTCAGCTTTCAGCCATGTTTAAACCTTATGCCCCCCCCTCCCCCCTCCCCCCACCAGACTCCATTCATCTGGAAATAAAGCAAAGGAAATAGGAAAAAAACATCTACAAGTCTGGAGAGAGGCACAGGTGTGCAGGATGGCTCTGCAGGGACTCGCTCATTCACAGTTCATGAGAGGAACTGGAATCTCTTACGCAGCATTTCAGCGGCACAGACTGTAAATAACGACTACAACTGTGATTAGCAGGGAAAACAAACCCTGACCTGCTTTAAACCAGCAGCACAAAGCAAACAGACAGCATCTGTACACAGTCTAGAGCTGCAGCTATCATCACTCGCAGGTCTGGAGGGATTACTGTGGGTTCACATTAATAATTCCACCGTTACAGTTCATTTCCTGAAGAAGATGCGGAGCGACTGCACGGCTTTTCCAGGTGGTTGCTAGGGTGCTGCTATTCTACTGTTTTATGGTGACATAAGTGGGTGCACAAACTTTACTTATTACTTATTACTTTACTTAATAATCTTTCCTATCGGAAAAAATCAGCTGAAATTGTCCATGCAATCACAAATAAAGTCAACATCAATTACAGAGCTACATAATGAATTGTATTTAGCGGAGAGCGCACATCTTCTCGTGCACCCACTGCAAACTCATTAGTGAATTTTCACAACAGTCTCCATCCTGAAGACCACAAAAGTAACTTTACTGACTCGCTTATTTACACTAAGTGAGTAGAACAGGAATGTACTAAGTACCTCAACAGTACGGACTGTAAATAGTAACTATAGCTGAAGTGTTACTGAGTGAGGAGAATATAAACAGGCTAAAATATGGTGAGTGTGTTCTGCTCTGAGTCGCCTGTAAAGCCTGAAATCATCATTTAAAGGTGAGAGTCAAGAGTTTTTCACACCACGTCGTACGTCTTTACGTATTAATGTCACACACAGACTCAAAAAGAAGGTCCGGCTCGATGTTTCGGCCTCAAATGGTCTCAAAATCAACATCATACTGGTGAAGATATGATGACAATAGTAGATAATTCTACATATTGTGTGCAGTTACACATTTCCACCAGAGAGGTCTCCAACTCCCCAAATCTTACATAGTGCAGCGTCAAGAAAATGTTTACTTCTCCTATAATGTTATAATGGTATAATATTTTTTATTTTTGAATATCGCTGCTGTCGGAAGAAAACCTCATATCTCCAAAATGTTAACTTTACAGGAGAAGGAAAAAACCCACTTTACTTTTAAGTCAATGGAACCAGAATTTCTTCCAAGCCATTTTGGGTCATTTCTTTTAGTCCATTCATCATGAAATTGACACACAATATAAAGGGCAAGAGGTATTTTCAAATTATGCCAAAAACTGAAAAATGACAAAAAAACAAGGTTTTCTTCCGACAACAGCGATAAACAAAGTGTTGTTGTTACCACTGTAACCTTTCAACGTTACATTAACGTACCTCAAAGTTAAAGCTGCTTATTTCTGTGTAAGATTTGCTGTTTAAACTCAAAGAAGCATCATTACTGAGTTAAAGGATTAAAAACAGGCTAAAATATGGTGAGTGTGAGCTGCTGTGAGTCACCTGTAAAGCCTGAAATAATCATTTAATAGTCAGAGATGTTGAGTCAAGAGTTTTTCACACCGCGTCGTACGTCTTTACGTGTTAACATCACAAATAGACTCAAAAAGAAGGTCCGGCTCGACGTTTAGGCCTCAAATGATCTCAGAATCACCATCATACTGATGAAGATAATAGTAGACAATTCACTCACATCCTCAGAGACGCTCCTTCACCAAGTTTAGACTGAGCTCTCTTTGAATTCTCTTTCAACTCACTCTATAGAATATAGGATAGAATCTTACAGATATAGAGTCTTTATATGACCTTGTGAAGATTCTTCAAGCCTTTAGACGGTTCATTTTACTAACAAATCTCTTTTTCATACAGGCTTCTTAAGGGAACTGAAGCCATGTCGCCCCCTACACTTCCTGTAGTGTATTACAGTCTGTCAGAGTGACTGTGTGGATCATATGAACATTATAGAGCTTTTTAAATGTAACAGTAGAAGCCATATCGCCCCCTACACTTCCTGTAGTGTATTACAGTCTGTCAGAGTGACTGTGTGGATCATATGAACATTATAGAGCTTTTTAAATGTAACAGTAGAAGCCATATCGCCCCCTACACTTCCTGTAGTGTATTACAGTCTGTCAGAATGACTGTGTGGATCATATGAACAGTTTAGAGGACGTTTTAGAGCACAATGCATAAGCAAAACAAATCATATCAATATTTTAAAATAATGCATGTCATTGGCTGATAATCTCAACCTTAAAACAGTCAGGAAAGGTTCTCTACCTGTTCCCTGGTTAGAAGCAGTTGAACTGGGCGTCCTGATCACAGCTCTGTCAGCTCTGCACGAGTTCCATTCAGTCCTGTGGAAAAACACAGAAACACAGTTTAGAGACGAGTTTCAGACTCAGACATTGCACTGCTTTTTTTTTTAGACGACTGTGTTTGGAGACTGTTTAAAGGTCACATATTTCGGAAAAACAGATTATCCTTGCTTTTGTTAAGAAAATAAAATGGAATTTACAGTGTTTAAAGAGTTCTGATATACTGTGTGAACATTGCTAAAGTTTCGAACTACATCTTTTAGTCCGCCCATTCAGCCTACAGCTGTTTAGCCCCACCCATTCAGCCTACAGCTGTTTAGCCCCACCCATTCAGCCTACAGCTGTTTAGACCCGCCCATTCAGCTACAGCATTTTAACTACACACATTCAGCTACAGCAGTTTAGCTCCACCCATTCAGTCTACAGCAGTTTAGCTCCACCCATTCAGCTACAGCAGTTTAGCCCCACCATTCAGTCTACAGCAGTTTAGCTCCACCATTCAGTCTACAGCAGTTTAGCTCCACCCATTCAGTCTACAGCAGTTTAGCTCCACCCATTCAGCCTACAGCAGTTTAGCCCCACCATTCAGTCTACAGCAGTTTAGCTCCACCCATTCAGTCTACAGCAGTTTAGCCCCACCCATTCAGTCTACAGCAGTTTAGCTCCACCCATTCAGTCTACAGCAGTTTAGCCCCGCCTGTTCCCACTGAAGTGAAGTGGAGCTGTTCCTGCAGACAGTCTGTAGCAGAATTATTGGAGTGAAAGATGATTAAATGTTCCTGGATGTCAGAAAGCAAATGGGTAATTCCAACTTCCAAAGCATCCACACATGCGAAAGAGCAGGACAGCCAATCAGAACAGAGTTAATTTACATACATCAGTCTTAAAGGCACAGTAACAGAAACGGCCTGTTTGTAAGGGGAGGCTGGAAAATGATCATGTCAAAATGAATTATGACTGTTTTCGGTACAAAAAACCACAAGGCATTGTTACTGGACTTTAAACCCAGAATAAATCTTTAGACTGCTGTTTGACTCTGTGGGGCAGCGGGGCTCAGAGGGTTCCTCGAGCGTGTAGTGTATGGAAAAATAACCCTCTATAATGACTCACTGGAATCAGTCGACTGTAATGATTTGAACTGCAGCCCAAGAATAACTTCAGAGAGTCTTACAACAACAATAAGCTCTAATTACTCACAGCGTGGAAACTGTACACCGCGGCCGTAACCATGACGGGACAGTTCGCTTTGAAGCTGATCTATACCATAATTTGTCCTGAGCAAATAATCCAGAATTTAAAAACCACAGGCTTTGACAAACGAGCTGAACCTTCTACTCATAGCTTTTCAAAGATTACTAAAGCATGTGTTTATGAATCTACACCTTATAGAAGTGATTTACACTGTAGAACAGACTCAGTTTATATCACAATACCTACATTTAGAGTCGGTTATTCATTCAGCCTAATGAGAAACTGTAGAACAGACTCAGTTTATATCACAATACCTACATTTAGAGTCGGTTATTTATTTCTAATGTTTATTTTGTACGTATGTGAAAATTGACATTGTTAGAAAAGACCAGGTGGATTTTTGGTTGTTGTGTAATTGAGCTAATGTTAGCATGGTGGTAATTCATAGGGGGGAGAGTGAGGACCACCGTACCCACCCAGAGAGAGTGGAGGCAGTTATGATCTCTTATGTTCATGGTTATAGACGACTGTGATATATTTTCAATTCAATATTCACTATCCAGAACCACCAGTGAACCTACACGAGTCTTCTGAGTTTATATGGAATGTTGATGATGGAAAATAGTGGAAAATCTGAAATAATAAGTTTTCTTTGGGGACTATTTTGCCTCACAGCGCCCTGCATGTATCCCTCCACCATGAATGGAGTTTAAGTTCTCTAAACTATCATAAAACAGTGTCTCAGTCATCAGGCAGTGAATTCATAACCATTTACTGTAGGAACTTTCTGTGAGGGAGCTTTTAGAGGTGGACGTCTGGTTCCTATCACCACCACTGTGAACAGTTCTGACTGAAATGTGACCATACCCCACTTTGATGAATGAGGCTTCTGGTGTTTATTTGATGTTTCAGCCAATTTTTCTCCAGTTTGGTTCCCAAATATCTTAAACAAACACTGGTGTTACAGAAAAGTGTCTAACACATAAACAGTAAGATGTACTACCATCATTATGAAATCATGTCAACATTATTTCCCCAAAAAACAAAACCTTCATGTTTATTTTTAAGAAGTGGTTGTTGTTTCCTCCTCCTGGCCCGATCAGCGCTGTGAGATCTCTCCTGCCCTGTGTCGTACCAGCAGGAGAGGCATCTTTATCAGTCCATCAGTGGAGAGGGACACACAGCCTTTATTTACTCACTATGATAAATTTAGTGCAGGGATGGTCACAAATCTCCCCCAGAACCACACAGCTCCACTTCCCCCGGGGCGGCAAATAAATAAACAAACAATGGAGGAGGTGTTGGACCTGTGAACCGCAGAATATTTCTCTTGGTTGAAGTCCAGCGCTCTGCACTTTTGAAGGTTTATTGTTTTTGGCTGGTTTAAAAGCCTGAAAATGAGCGAGAGGTCTTCAGGCGTGAACGCTGGTCATCTATCATTCAGAGAGGCTTTCGATTAGACATGTCTGAGCGTGTTTAACTCCCCGTCTCATCACTGTTTACTGGACGGTGACAGAATAAACACACTATTCGAGAATGAACGCACTATTCGAGGAGCTTCTGAGCTGTTCGGCCTGGAGCGGGAGCCGGGACTATTTTCTGTTCTGTATTTCTGGAAGCGTTGAGGCGAGCTCAGTGCTGTTCTGGACGTGTAAATATAACCCTGGGCCTTATTAAGGCTCTATGAGCTAGGACCAACTTAGACCCACACATGTGATACGGTGATTCACAACACAACTCACAGCTAGAGACGCACTGGTCTCGCAGGACGAGACGTTATCTTTTAACACGTCTGGAAAGCGAACTTGGCTCAGATATTTTGGGGAAGTGTAAACTTATTAGGATGGGAACAAACTGGGTTCTAAACCAATCAAGCACCGAGTTCAGTGTTTGAGATCATTCAGAGTGGTTTGGTGTGAAATGGTTAAGATGTCTTTACAGTGGTGGTGATGGGAACCAGGGGTTGCCATGACTACAACACAAATATAGACATTTTATTTACTATCCAGAACCACCAGTGAACCTACACGAGTCTTCTGAGTCTATATGGAATGTTGATGATGGAAAACAGTGGAACATCTGAAATAATAAGTAACTACTTTGCCAAATTCTTCTAAAAACAATGTCTCAGACATCAGGTGAGTGAGGTCACTGTGAGTGAAGTGTTGAGTGGGTAATTCTGTGTCCTCAGTGGATTCGTTTGATCATTGATTTCTTAATTCTGGTGTGCTGTGTCTCCTGAATGAATCCACGTAGGCAGGTGTAACGAATACTAGCTGAGTTAGCTGTAGGTAAATGCGTCAGTGTGAGGCGTTCATGCGGCATCAGGTTTGAGTTTGAATGGTTTCCTTTGCAGGCAGCGCTCTTCTGCTTCTAACATCGTGATCATATCAAATCACGTTTATGGTCACGTCACATTCACACAGGTGCAAAGGTGAGTGAAAACCGTAGGTGCGCAGAACTAGTATTTAAATATACACCAATCAGCCATAACATTATGACCACCTCCTTCTTTCTACGCTTTATCAGCTCCACTTACTATATAGGTGCACTTTGTAGTTCTACAGTTACAGACTGTAGTCCATCTGTTTCTCTGATACTTTGTTAGCCCCCTTTTACCCTGTTCTTCAGTGGTCAGGACCCCCATGGACCCTCACAGAGCAGGTACTATTTGGCTGGTGGATGACTAGAAGACTAGAGGATGAGCAGCAGATGAGCTATTGTCTCTGACTTTACATCAGGTGGACTGACAAGGTAGGAGTGTCTAATAGAGTGGACAGTAAGTGGACACTCCAGTGTTTAAAACTCCAGCAGCACTGCTGTGTCTGATCCAGTCGCACCAGCACAACACCACGTCAGTGTCACTGCAGTGCTGAGAATGATCCACCACCCAAATAGTACCTGCTCTGTGAGGGTCCGTGGGGGTCCTGACCACTGAAGAACAGGGTAAAAGGGGGCTAACAAAGTATCAGAGAAACAGATGGACTACAGTCTGTAACTGTAGAACTACAAAGTGCACCTATACAGTAAGTGGAGCTGATAAAATGGACAATGAGCGTAGAAACAAGGAGGTGGTCAGAATGTTATGGCTGATCAGTATATATATATATATATACACACATTAGACTCTAAATATATACACATTGGTACAATATACATATTAGTATACACATCATCAGTCTGAACTGATCTTATAGAGCTCATGTTGGAGAACCAGGCACAGTGACTGGAGAGTAAAGCAAATAAGCAAATATTTGGAACGTGAGAAACAGAAAAGCAGTGATTTGGGGGCCGGATTAAAGGACAAAATGTAAATATGTGAGGGGCCGTATGAAGCCGCCTTGCAGGCCGGTACTTTGAGACCCCTGATCTAGAGCCTGGAGTTTTATAGGGTACTATCATCTCAAACCAGAAAAGCCTAATTACTTTGCGATACCTCACGTTGCTGAAATGTGCCCAGATTAGCAGTTAGCTGAAGCTAGCAACCTAAAGTAGCTGTGGTGTTTACTTTTAGAAGTTTCTGAAATCTTTCACTATCTAATTAAAAAATAATGTTATTGAAACAGAAACATGTGACTGATGTCCAAAGAAGAACATATAAACACAAAATAGTAACTTCACAGGAGAACAAAATAACATTCTTCACTTTTAATGCAAGTTAAAGAGGTTTTACTCCTCGTGATGTTGGAGCGTTTCTACTGGTCCATTCATTATAAAGTAAAGGACAGCAACTGTTTTCAAATGATGTGAAAAAGTAAAATTTGGCAAAAACAGAGATTCGTGTTTTTCTCTGGACAGTAACTCCATGATTACTCTAACTCCACGATAAAAATTTTAAACCGCGGCGC